AAAGGGGCTGGGGCTGTTAACTCAGTGTGAAGGCCCTGGGTTCCATCCCCAGTGCTGCGTGCGCGTGCGCACACAGACACACACAGACACACGTCATGACCACTGGTGCCCACAGGAAAGTGCTTGAGATGCCACACCAGATTCACATGTCACACTACAATGTCCTTACACTTGGTCCCTCTGGCCTTTGAAATCTGGAGGCAGAGGAACATGATTCAAGTCTCGATGCTGGATTTTAGCAAAAGGATAGAACTTTCTGAGCTGCGTGTCTGCATGTGTGGGTCTCCTTCTTTACACCGGGAACCACCTGAGGTCCAGGACTCAGTCATGCACACTGTGGGACTCGCCAGCAGCAAGAACATCACCTGGTAAATCTGAGGTTCTCCATAAATGCTGCTGGATTCAATTTATCACTGGAAGAGAAGGGAGACGTGTTATCTAAAACAACACTTAAGCTGTTGGTGCTGTACTTGAGATCATGTATTTAATGAACTGTGTATATGGTACCAAAGAAACTTACTGCTAACCGAAGGAGTCACCGGAGCTTTGAAGATCATCCAGACCTGAGAACTAGGGTCACAGGGTCAAATCCTGCCCACTGCCACTTCTGTAAATAAAGTTTCACTGGAACACAACCACACCTTGTTTACAGCCTTTCCTGTGCTGACTGCAGGGCAGAAGTTGTGTCAGAGCCAGTGCGATCCATAAAACCTAAATATTAACTGTTGGTCCTTTTCCTGAAGTTTGCCAACCCTGACCTCGTGGATACATAAGGACTCTGAGGCCCTGGGAGGAAGGTCTTGCTGGGCCTCATTAACTGGGTAGACGACCATATACCAGAGGGACAGCACTTTCTAGGCTCAACTGCTCTTCGCTGTTTGGGCAGAAGAACACAGGTGGCACCAGATACCGGCCAGGGTCCTGCGGAGAAAGCACCACACCACGGGAAGAATCAAGTGCAAACCTGGCGGGTCTGGGAAGCATGGGACACCCGGGGATCTGTGGCCCAGGCCCAGCAGGTGGTGTCAGTGGCTCGTGCAGGTGGCTTTCCAGGCCCTGCACGTGAGCCCTGCACAAGGCTCGGCACAGCGAGCCAGGATGGATGCAGGGGAGGAGAGGACCCCAAGAATGGCTCTAGTACCATGCAAAGGCTTCCTGGGATATCCCGGAATGGGGGGAGGGGTACGGCCTGAGGGTTCTCAGCGGCAAATGGCGCCGATCCAGGACTGGTGAAGCGGGCACAGGGGCAGCTGCCGTCCTCCCAGCTCTTCACCTGGCTGTTCCCATGACACCTCACCTGGGCGGGACGGCAGAGCCTGCAAAACTCCAGCGCGAGGTTTGCGGACCCGTGTGATACTCGGCTGTACTCCACGCCCTGCATCCAGCAGTCCCCTTGGCACATCAGATCCCACCTGCCGCTAACACACTGAGTGGAGCCGATGGCACCGAGCGTCCATCCTGGGCTGGAGCAGAGCTAGGGAAACAAACGGCTTCTGACCCGGGAGGGGAAAGCAAAGGACAACAAACATCTGTTCCTCAACCAGGATTCCCTCCCATCCCAGGAAAGACTGGTTTATAGATCTAGGACTTCAAATAAGTTGGATGGAGAAATTGATCCATCCACTCCCCTGAGGTGGTTATTTCTGTCGAACCAAAGAATATGTCAGGAAGTGTGAAAACGGCAAAAAGAATGAGGAGAAAACAACAGGTAGAGTTTGCATTTTGTTTAGATCACTTCTGAAAATCACTTCTACGAAGTCATGTGTGGTGATTTATTTATAAACAAGTGGAAGCTTGCAAGAATGAAACTGTGTTCAGAAAAATCATCCCAAACTTTAAACTATGACAAGAGCATCACACGCCCACCTGAAGTCACGCTGTCCCAGGCTAATGAGCCCACCGCCTGCCCCTGGGGAAGGAACTCAGACTCAGTCATTGCTGCCCTGCAAAGGCAGAGGTCACGTGAACAGGCTGTAAGCTTCGAATGACTTCTGTTCAGCAGAAACCCAGATGAACCCTGCCAGACAGAAATCAGAGCCCCGGAGTCTGCTCCTACTGCTCGTCCAGCTTTGCACACCCGCTTCCACTTCTCCTTCCAACAGTCAGAGAACCAGTCTCTGGTCTCCTGCTGGCTTCCTCGCTCATGAGTGAGGTGAATCCTGTGCTCTATGTGTATGAGGTTCGTACCTTGAATGTCTCATAGAAACTCCTTCCTCCAAAATTCACCGCTGACCTCCCTGCTTACACGTGTCCACTTTACTCTCTGTGTCTCACCATGCGCTAGATGCATCTGGCTTTCATTTCTCAGCTGACAGAGTAGACAAAGTCTTTTTGTTTGAAAAAAGAAAAAGAAAGAAAGTTCCTTTTGTGTCTACCTCATGCCAGGTCACCTCCGCACGTTGCCTGGTGACCCTTTGGGCCCAGTGTTGAGCTTGTTACTCTATCAGTTACAGAAGAAAGGCCACAGCCCATCCTAAAATAACTGCCAGGCCAACAGGGAGATGCACCATGTGCACAGCTGTCACGGCCCTCAGTGCTGCGACACCTACGCCAGGGGTGGGCCACTCAGCTACCTTGAGCTGTGAGCTTTGTCTGATTTTATTGTGGGATCTGGGGGGAAAGCAGTGAGGGAGATGAGAGCACCATGGCAGGCTTCTGCCTCCCGGGCTCCTCGCCCTCCAGCGCCAGGCGGTGGGGGTTCGGCAGCCAGCCTCTTGCTCGGCGGGGCTGCTCTTCACGCTGTGGCCGAGTCCTGTCCCGCAGGACTGGCTGTCACTTGGAGCCTCTAGGTGGCTCGGCAGACCCTCGCTGGGGATGAGCGGAAGCCTGGAGAGCAGCTGCTCAGCTGGCCTCTGGCTCCTCACCCTGGTGTCTCACACTGGAGAGGGCCCTTCAGCCGGCAGCAGAGCTGCAGGAATGTCCGTGCACATGTGCCCAAGTGTGTGCATGCACGAGTGTGTGCCGAGGGTGGGGCAGCAGCACACGGCTCCTGGAGGGAAAGGATAAGATTCCTGGGCTGGGCAGGCTCCTGAGCCCTCTCCGGGCCCGGCTCCGAGACTGACTTGGGCGACGTGGACTCTCCCGTGTCTTCCAGGTGGGACAAAGGCAGACTGGAGAAGGAAGGAGCTAGGAGAGGCCCAGGCCGTGCTCACTCGGATGAGAAGCCAGGCGTGGCGAGGTGGGAAACCAACCCACTCTGTACAGGAGGCCGCTGGGGCCCGCCCGGCCCTCACATCCAGCTACTCGGGGCTGCGCTGCGTCCGAGCGGCTCAGGCTCCTCCCCAGCGGAGTTCTCCTGGCTGCTGTACCATCGCGTGGGGCGGCCCAGACTTGAGAGAACCTGGCTGTTGCTTGCTCTCCACAAAGTAGCCATGTGCACAGGCACAGGAGATTACGCGCGGCAGCACAAAGCGCCTGAGGCTGAGCAGCACATTTCCTCCTCCCCAGAGCCCCGGCCCCGCCTTCCCGCTCCTCAGCCCAATCGATCGCATGGGGGCTCCGAACGATGAGGCAGGAAGGCCCACCCTCAGGGTTCACGTCCTCATCTGCCCCCCACTCACAGGTCTTTACTTTTCTGCTCTGGCCCTCATTCTCTGCATCTGGAAAATGGAAAACACAAAATCCACTTACCCCACGAAGCAGTTGAGAGCAGAAAGAGAGACCTATGTGCCAGTGAGTATGTGAGAAGATGTTTGACTTCATTAGTCACCAAGGAGAACAAAAATCAAACCATGATGAGGTACAATGCACTCCCAGTGGGATGGCTAGAATTAAAGATCCCCAGGGCCGGGATTCAGCTCAGCGGTTCCGCTGCCTGCCCCAAAAGTACAAGGACCTGAGTTCAATCCCTGGTACCAAAAAAAAAAAATTTAGATTACAGGCGTCAGTGTGCACGTCAAGAAATAAGAACCCTGCAACAGCTCCGACACAGGTACTTTGGGGAACAGTGCGGCAAATCCTCAAAGAGCTAGATGGGGCAACCATACAATCCAGCAACTCCACTCCTAGCTAGGTACAGGCACAACAGACATGATGACATGTGCCCGCATACCGGAATGTTTACAGCAGCATCATCCATGATAACCAAAAGGAGGGAACCACCCAAAGCCCAGCAACTGACAAATGAAGGCACAGACAAAGTGTGTTACATCTGTACAGCAGTATATTGATCAGCGGCAAAAAAAGAATGAAATACCGAAAGAGGATACACCGGGGAGAATCCTGAAAACACTACACTGTGTGAAAGACGCCAGTCATGAAAGAGCTCGTGCTACGCCATTCTATTTATATGAAAGAGACAGAGCAAGGAAATACACAGAAGGGTGACTGGCAATCGCTCCAGGGTGGGTGGGGAAGGAGGGTAATATCTAAAAGGTATGAATGAGGTTTCTCTCAGGTGGTGAAAATGTTTAACGTTGACCTTGGTGACCTTGCTGTTTGCACACATTTGTAAATATTCTAAAAATATCTGGTCGTACACAGTAAATGGGTGAATTGGGTGGTTTGTGAGTTTTATCTCAACAAAGCTGTTTTTTAAACAAGAGACGTACAGCTGGTCCAGACGGGGTGCCGAAATGAGTTACTAAGGAGAGGCTGGTGAGGGTCCATGCAGAGGTCTGGGCAGGGCTGGGCGACCCAGCAGTGGACAGCGGTGTCCCTGGGGCAAGGGAGGGACCGATCTCCAGGCCCAGGCAGTTCCCACTAAATGGCTCCATAGACTTTCTTAAAGGCTACTTGCTTACAAGTCTGGGCCACTTTTCTACGGTAGCTTTCTGCAAAGATGCCTCACAGACTGTCCTGGGGAGTAGCCGGAAAAAGAAAACAAAAGCATCAGAATACTTCGCCCTGCTATTCACTGTTCGCAAAGAAGAGGGAGGCCAGAAGGGAGCACACAGGTGGCAGCCTTTCTGGCAGCCCAGGTGCTGCCGGAAACACCAAAAGCCGCTGATTTTTAAACAAGTCATGGTGGTCAAGCCTGTATCCTTGGCACTCTGGGAGGCTGGGGTACAAGACTGCAAGTTTTGGCCCAGCCTGGGCAACTTAATGAGACCCTGTCTTAAACCAGTAAGAAAAGGGCTGGCTTGGTAGGAAGCCCTGGAGGGTCCAACTCCCAGCACTGGCAAAAGAGGGGACAGATTTTCAGCTTCCCCTCCCGCCACTTGTCCACAGGCCTGACGGTGTTTCCTTCCGGAAACATGGTCTCCTCTGTAAGCAAGCGGCTGTTAGGGTTTATGTCTGAAATGTCCCCAAGTTCTCGCCCGGGGGGAGCACCGTGGGGCTGCTCTACTCAGCAGTGGGGCAGTCCAGTGGCTGGATTCGCTGTGGGGAAGTGGGGCCTGGGCAGAGGTGGTCCCTGGGGCGTGACCTGGAGGGCTGTGTTCCTGTGCAAGGCTTCTCCCTTCTCTTGCGACTTCCTGGCTGCCATGAGGCGAGCAGCTTCTCCTCTGCCATGTCGGGCTGCCATCCTACCCGCCTCGGAGCAGCCGACCATGTGCTGAAACTGTGAGTGGAAATCAAGCTCTGCCCTCTAAGTTGGGAGTGGTGGGCGTTTTTCCCCAGCAATGGGAAAATGATTAGGGCCGTGGCCTTTCTCTGACAGACTGCTGAGTCTGTGTTTGGATGGAGACTGGGAAGAGTGGGAGTGTGACTACCTGTTAGGCACTGAACTGCATCCGCCACAGATTCACACGTCGGGACCCTGACCTCCAGGACGGTAGTTCAGAATGTGTCTGTATTTGGAGACAATCTTTAAAAAAAGTAGTGAAGGTGCAATGAGCTCATTACAGCAGGCCTCGGTCCACCAGGACGTGTGTCCTCCTAAGATTAGGACACAGACACACACAGAAGGACATGTGAAGAAGCAGGGAGAAGATGGCCATGCACACGCCAAGGAGATGGGCCTCAGAAGAAACCTGGGCGGCTGACATTTTGACCTTGGGCTTTCAGCCTCCAGAACCGAAGAGAACTCTGTCTCCAGTTACTCTGGTCTCTGCAGTTCCCATCAGCCAGACCCCTGCGAGCCCTCACAGAAGGCAGTGTCACCGATTCTGTTCGAGAAGCAGCCCCTACCACTCCTCCTTCGCTGCTGCCACGGTTGGAACCCGGAGCCCCCCACAGGCTCGTATGTTGGTGGCTTGGTCCCCGTGGCAACAATGTTTAGAAGGCTGTGGGGAGGTGGGGTCAAGAGGGCTCTGATCCCATCGATGGATTAATCTATTAATAGATTCATAAATGAAATGACTCCCGGGAAGTACCGGAGCTCCAGGAGGCCGAGTCTAGAGGGTGCAGATTACTGGGAGCAATCCCCGGAGGGTGTCTGTCCCCACTCTTCTCACACGCTCGCTGTCTGTCTGCTTCCAGCTACCAGAGATGAGCAGCTTCCCTCCGCAACGCCCCCACCGCGATGTGCTGCCTCACCAGAAGCCATGGAGCCAGCCACCCAGGCACTGAAACCTCCAAAGCTGTGAGCCAACGCAAATCTCTCCTCCCTTGAGTTGACTTCCTCAGGCATTTTGCCAGTGACAGAAAGCTAACTCGGCTGCTCTGTAGCCTTCCCTCCATCCCTCGCTTCAATGTCTTCTACCCCTAGAACTACCCAACTATGTTCTTTTGGCCCTGAAGACACTGTTTTATGTCTTCTCCAAAGGTCTCCAAGGCAAGGAGCACAAAGAAATGGTTAACACCTGGTTAAAATGTGCAGGAACATGTACAGCAATAAAAACAGCATAAATTAGTATGTGGGTAATCATCCTGCTTGTGTAGACGGAATGAGGGAGCTGTCACACTCCATGAGTTCTCTGTGGTGCAGCTGGAATCTGTCCCTGGAGAAGCAGCAGCTCGGTCGGTATTTCCTCCGCGTGCCCCGTGTTCTTGCGCGGAAGGAGGCGACCCCGCGCTGCGCTGCTGGCCTGTGCTCCAGAGTCTCAGGCTCTTCCCTAACCACAGGAGCTAAATCACAGAGGCCAGACTCAGCCTGTGCCCCTAGCTTCCTGACAGACACAGTCTGCTCCTCCGGGGCTGGGAGGGGCTCAGTGACAGGTGTCCTTCTTTCTGGGAAATGATTAGCACCCCAGGGAAGCACTGTGCTGGCTCTGAGCATCTCATTAACAGCATGACTGTGCGCTTCCGGTGCTGAGCTGGGCCCTGCGGTGGCTGCGGATGGGCAGGGCATTGAGGGCCACAGCTCCTGGCCACCGCGCCTCCCGGATGTGCAAATGCCTGCATCCAGGTGGCTCCCAGAAACCCGGCCTCCTAACCAAAAGAAAATTTCCTGGGCAGAGACCGGATCCTTCCTACTAGAAAAATGGTTTCCCCTTGCTCTGTGCCTCTGATACAGACACACACACACTCTGCCGGCAGCTCCTCCGTCCTGGCTCGGAGGCGCCCGCCTCTCTTCACTCCCATCCTGAGGCCTGTCACTGGCAAACCGGCGGGGCGCGTGGCTGTCTGGGGCGATCACGTCAGCTCTCCTCTCCGGTATGTGGGGGAGCATTTCTGCAGGGGGACGACGCAACAGCAAGACCACAGCGAATAATACCCTCAGCCTCGGAGCAGACGCGGGCCGGCCAACGAGCAGTCCGGAAGGGGCAGAAGAGTGGGGGCGGGGATGGGGGCGGGGATGGGGGCGGGGCAGGCCGGCCTAAGGGCTCTCTTCCCTCGTCCTGCTTTATTTTCTTCCAGCGTTTAACACCATGGGAGACCATATTTTAGTGCAGCGTTCAGGGGATTCAACTCTTCCAGCCTCCAACTCTGAGTACAGGAAGCAGGTCCCTTTCATCCGCCGCTGCGGCCTAAGTGCCTCGCACAGCCCCGGCGCTCGCAGGCCGGGTGGCGGGGGAGCGCGGGCCTGGGCGCCTGGGGAGCGGCCGAGCCCCGGAGGTGCGGCCTGCGCCCCGCCTTCGCCGGCGGAGCGAGGACCCCGCGAAAACGACCGGGGGCTGCGGCGGGCGCGGCCGGGCTGCAGGCGAGGCGCTCCAGGCCGGCCTAGGCGACCTAGGGCCGCAGAGCACGACGCCGCTGCTCCACGACGATCTCGAAATGAGCACACCACCCAGCGATGGAGCCATTTGCACAACGCGCAGGCCCTGAGCGGGTAAACTGCTCGCACCTTTTCAAACGGTGCACTTTCCCTACAAGAAAACCGAGGAGCTCCCGGCCGCGACAGGCTGCGCACGCGCAGAGGCGCCCGGCGCCACCTGGTGTTCACGCCGCGTAACGCTCGCGAGCTTCCTCCAGCCGGAATTCTGGGCAAAATCCCCATTACTGTGCGTATTTTCTGAAGCATCCTCTCAAAATCTTTCACTTGAAAAGTGTGAGGCATGTAAAAATAATGCAAAATCACGACGCCGTCAGAACTTCATTGTTTAATTATAAAGTGAAAGATCTGCATTACTAGCTATATTTATACTATATTACTATTACACTATATTACTAGCTATACCGGTTCGTTTTTTGAGCAACCTGGTGCAGTGCTGCACTCGTGTAATCCTAGCTGCTTGAGAGGCTGAGGCAGGAGGATCACATGCTCAAGGTCAATCAAGGCAAGATGGCAAGATCTTGTCCCCAAAGAAACCCAGATTTATTGGGGATTTACTATATGTCAGATTCTCTCCTAAGGGGCCTGAATGGGTTAATTTAATTGTAACTCAAAAGACAACTATCGTCATTTCTACTTTACATATGGCAATGGGGCACTGAGAGGTGAACACATTTGCCGAAAGTCCCCAAGTCGGACCCCACCCTCCCCCAGCAGCCCGGCTCCCGGCACCCACAGGAGCAGAGGCAACAAGAAGCTGCAGCGCTTGCCGAAGGGCGAGGGCTGCGCGGGAGGGGCTCCTGGTGGGGCCGACGGGGGCGCCGGAAGCCTGCGGGGAAGGGGCCATCGCACCCGCCACCTGGGAGCGCGCCACGCGGAGGCCGGCGTCCGAGGGACGCGCCAGACCAGCCGGGTTACCTCGGGCCCGTGCCGTCAGCCAGGGACATCTGTGTCGCCCGAGCGCCGACCTGGTGACTCGAGGCCGAAGGCGCGGGACGAGGCGGGGGGAGCCAGCTAGGGCCTCGTCCTCAGAGCCCGGCCTTCGAGCTTTGGAGGCCCGGGAGCCGTGGTGCTGCGGCCACACTGCCCAAACCCAGAGTTTCTGAAGAAGACTCCGGTCTTGCCATGGCCTGATGTCATTCTTTGCGTCAAAACCTAAGCTTTTCTTTTTGTTCATTCTCAGCCCCGTGGTTCCACTGTCTAATTTAGGCCTTTAAAAAGGGAAAGCCTTATTTATTGCAGTTCTGTGCCATATAAGGTCGAGGGCATCATTGATAATCTGAAAATCCTTTCTCCTCTGCTTTCTGGAAGGAGTAAACAGGACCTTTACCTGCTCTGCAGAACTTAGTCTCCCCCTAATACTGAGGCCTTTTGTTTGCTGTTTTCCCTGAGCATTAGACTGAAGCAGGCTTTAGGGATCAGATTGTGTCCATGGTCACTATAATGCATCATCTCTGGATTTATTAGACCTTCTAATTAGAGACTGGTTGTACAGTTATTCAACTTGCTTATAAAAATGTACTCTAAGCAAAGTAAGTGCTTTTGAAGAACAGAATTAGGCTAGACTTTTGAAAGAACAAAAGTCAACTCATCTTCATTTTAAAGAAAACTGCCTGCCTAGCAATCCACTTAAGGGAAGGAAAACTAGAGAGCCTGAGATGCAGATTATTTCCCTTCACAAATATAAAAAGAATAAGTCTAAGAGAATATAGGAAGATTTAAAAAGGCGTGTGATAGTAAGGTTGAAGCTAAGCAGACCAGGGAACTCAAATCACAAAGAAAAAGATTCATTTTATAGAAATTAAAAACTCATGGCAAGTGACAAATAGTAATTTCATGTTGGGATAAAATACTGGCAATCTGTATCATGGGCAGATTTAAATGACAAGGTTGTTTAACGTAGAATAGCATAACTAAAGACAGCCATTCCTACCCCCAAGTTAATACAGTGTTGATAACTAGAATAATGAAACTATTCTATTCTATTCTGCATGTAATGACTTTTCAAAAAAAGTTGGGTGGGATAAGATCTAGACTCCACAAATGCTAAGCAGAGCTCTGTCTGTGTTAAGCCAGTTTTCTTGTAGAGCTTGTGATACACGCTGTGACTTGTGCTCCACAGATCCTGTGATTACCACCAGCAGTGCTGACATGAAGTACTCAGCTATGCTCTTCTAGCCTAAATGCTGTGCTCAAACTGGAAGAATCAGCCTCCCGGGCGAGGTATCACCCTGTCCTACTTTGAAAAGGACACAGTGCAGGGATGAAGAACAGAGGCTTTTGCTGCTGAGAGATCATATTTTAAACAAGACGTAAGTGGAGTCTTCATAACCAGTCTGATAAATTCTCTTAGGGTAGTCATGGGTCTGCCTCTCTGGCCACTGCCATGTTATGTATCCTGAGCCGCAGTGGCTCACAGCTGTGCAGAAGGTATCTGCTCTATTGAGTCCAATAGTTTCAAGCTGCTGATTCTCAGAGCAGTAATCCATCCCAGCATTGGTCCGAAGAACCCTGTGGACTGAGAATTCACTAACCTTCACAGACTGGCTCAGCACTAGCACCTCTACTTCTCTACAGGTGATCTCTAATAGCCTTGCAAGCAGTGGTCCAGACATCAAGAACTAAAAAAACACCTTTAAAAGCCAATGCTTACTACAAACTCTAAAAGATTTTTCTCTCCTGCTAAACAAGCTGGCCCCTTAGAGAGAAGTTACTTCTTTTAACTAAATATGTGTCCTTGACGTAATAAGAATGAGGACTTTTCCTCAGTATAACTGAAATAGAAAAGTCAATAGCAGGAAAAGAAAGACTGTAAGAATATAAGGAAGACCCTCATGGAAGATGAGAGAATGGAAGCCAACAAATCAACAAATCAGAAATCTTTACAAGGATACCAAAGCTAGTAAACACTGATTCTGTTTATTCCAGGCATACAAAAGAAATGGAAGATTCATCCTTTTCAGGTTGGTTGGAGCCGTACCACTGATAAACAACACTTAATACAGCAAGAGTATTACCATTGCAATAACAGAATGATCAAATGTAACAATACCAACTAATATTCAAATGATACTAATGATACTAATGTTCAAAGTATAATGATACATCAAGTATATTTAATGGAGAGAAATACCTCAATATGCCATAACCCAGTAGGTATCCGGATTTTCCTTTTGCTATTGTAACAGCCTATTTTATATCCATAATTAATCTTTCATGATTATTTTTAAAAGGTAAAAATGTGTAGAGTTCTTTGAACGTATAATTTAGTGTTTATTTTTCAAAACTAACCCATGCTATATTTTGAAAAGCAACAATTTCTTCCCTTGAGTTATGTATTTATTTTATCAAGAGTCTGTTAGGCAAATTTCAACAAATAATAAAACCCTAACAGCAGCACTATAATTTCTGTAGGAAGTTTAGACAGCAATTTCCAATGAGCAATCAAGCTTGTCATAATAAGCATCTCAAGGAATCTCGCCTAATGACAAAGTCCAAAGGCCAGTAGCTGGGTGTGGGCTGTTGTATTTTATACATACTCAGATACAGAAAGTGTCAGTCACTTTACAAGGAATGCACAAATAAATGTAGCTGAATCAGAAGTAAACATCTTATTGAGCCCTCACATCCAACCATTAGCAGTAATACTTTCTCTGGGAAGTTTTCAAGGCAGTTTTTGAACAACTTTGTAAAAAGTGACCATTTTAAGAAACAATTCTCTTTATGTTATGCCATTCTTTCCCTTTACTTTTCATGGCTAATTTTAATCCAAATATAAACCTGAAAATTGCTTAGGTAGTTTTCAGCTTAGTAATGCAGCCAGTTAATATAGTATTTATTTCCGTGGGAGTCCAGCATGCATGTTAAGATGTGACAGACAGATTAGTCAAAAGAATATGTATTTGCCATTTGCAGTCTCCCAGGAACTGTTTCTTGGGACTGAATGGAAGGATCTAAGAGCCCATAAGAATTCACTGATTTTCATGGCATGACTGATTCATATTCTGCTACCTGAAGGAACACAGTGAGATAATGTTTATTTTCAGAAAACTTTCTAAATTTCTCTTGCTGTTTGGTAGCCCAAATACAAATCAGTTGGGAACTGGAAGTAAGTAGAGCCACTGTTGCCCTGTGGTTGTCTAAAACGTTGAATTCTGCCAGTCTGAAGTGAGACCTAAATAGCTTAGGAAAGGAGAATTTAATCTGGCTAGAGAAGGGGAATGGAGTATAAATAAATTTTAAAGGTTGATCATGTATGCATGCTACAGCAAACACTGTCACTTGACAGACTGAATTTATAGAGTTGGCATTTAGGCTGCAGATAATCTAGACAGTGACCTAAGCAGCATTTGTGGGCAAGCCTAACATAAGGAGAACTGTTCTTGAACAATTTCCTGTGAACATAACAACTAGTGAACAAAAGCTATAAGAGCCGTGCTTTTCCCTACCCTAACACAACTGCTTTTCAACTGGGCCACGTTCAGCCAACAGGGAACATAAGAAATGTGCAGAAGCTTTGACTTTCTATTTAAAGGCGGCTGTCACATATTTCTTGGATCTTCAGACATTAGTGCACATAGCACATAGTCAAACAATGTCCACTTGGGTATTATAAAGTTGCTTCAGCACTAAAATCCCTTTAGGGTGCCCCATGCCTAGTTTTCCTAAGTTGCATTTGCAGCCCCCCTAGTTTCACAATCCCAGAGTGCACTGGGGTTTTGTCCTAGGGCCTCTTGGCTTCACTCTCTTCACAGGTTGTCACGCACTCTGAAATAAGAATCAAATCATAATTTACATAATTATACTACAAAAGTAGTTAAAATGGAAAGAAATAACCCAAAGTGTTAACATCGGAAAAGAAAAAGAAGCCGCAGCCGCCCGCTGCTCCCCACCACCCTGGGTATCAGCCAGCCCAGCCCAGCACCGCCCCGCCGGGCTCTAAAATCTCCCACCCGTCGGCCAGTGCCCCCTCCCTACCTAAACTCCCCTGTGCCAGCCAGGCACGCCCTCCTCGCAGTGCCAGCGGCCTTTTCACCCTCGGCCCTCTCACCCTCGGCCCTCTGCACCCAGACGGCAAGAAGCTCATGGCATGTTGCTTAGCCTCTGCCTGCCTCGGCGGTCTCGTTGTGCCTTGCTCTGACCTTACAAGTTAAACCTAGGCAGCCTGGCTTCTGTGCCCATGATTTAACCCATTATGCTGCTCTCCGTGTACTGTGTTTCAAGAAACACGATCTCCCTAATTTTTATTTGGACTGATATTAAGAATTTAATTTCTCTGGGTGAAGCTCCATGGACCAAGGAGAAGCAGGACAGCAGAGTTTAAATAATTCTGATATGAAACATTAAACTTTTCAGAAGCATGGATCCCGTTAGAGTGACACACTACCCACAGGGATGTACACTGAACCACTGAATTTTATGACAACTCGCCCGAAGAAAACACTATCATCCCCATTAGTCCTCTAAGAGTTCAGCAACTCAGGAGCTTGCTCCCTGAAAAGGGTAATGACAGTAATGAGCTGGTGTTTACTGGGTACTTCCGTGTTTATTTGGGGGGATTATCCAGTAAACGATGATGGAGATTCATGGGTCAGACTGCTTTGTGCTCACAACCCTGGCTGTGCTCCTGATGACACGAGGTCCTCAGGTCTCCAAGGGCCAGACTCCTCCTCTGGGGTGGGGAGGAGCAGTGATTCCCTGTCACATGGGTATGAGGGCTGATGCACACAAGAGAAGGGCTCCAAAGTTTCTGGCACTTCCTAAGAGCTCCAACCAGTGCTACCTTCTATTATAATGTTCCAAGCACTGTGCTCAGCAGATAACTAGACAAAACCACCTTCTACAGCAAGTGTGTATGTGTATCAAAAAAAAAAAAAAGTGTGTTTGTACAGAGTTGGCTATTACTCAGGCAGCAAAGAATCTGGGAGGAAACAGTAAGATGTTAAATTACCACCAAGTAGGTGCAACTCTCTTGTGCACTGGGGATGGAAGCCACAGGTGCCTTAGCCCTGGGCCACATCCTCTGCCATCTTTATTTTTGGAGACTGTGTCCTGCCAAGTTTCCCAGACTGGCCTCAAACCTGAAATCTACCTGCCTCATCTTCCTGAGTAGCAGGGAGTATAGTCGCGCACCACTGCGCCCAGCACAGGTGTAAATTTGGTTTTTTCCCAGTTTTACTTGTCTTTGCTCAATGAATATGGCTTGCTTTCTTAAAAGACTAGAAGTAATGAACGAGTTTCCAGAGAAGAAAGCTGCAGGCAGCGAGGCCTGCTGGCCGGCCCATAGGAGCGGATCTCAGGACAGGGCCCTCTCCTGAACTAGCTGGAGGTGGAAGGAAGGATGTGGGTGCAGCTTTAGAGACGGAGCCAGGCCTCAAGGATGCAGCCCACTGTGCTGACCATCGGAGCTGGCTGGAGGCCAGTGAAGGGCAGCGTGAGGGCGGCCAGGCCGAGGCTGAAGGCTCCTCTCAGGCAGCCTCCGGGTACCCACGGAACAAGTGGCAGACTGGACAGGTCTCTAGCTCCTCCCAAGGTGAGGATTCTGATTTGCTGGCTGATTTTGCTCTGAAATACCCTCGAACTGAGAAGCAGGGTCACCAACTTTCAGAGAGCTCAAGTCTGACTTTTCTGCTGTCTCCATAAATCCCGAGGGACGCTTGTCCCCCTCATTCTAGGGGTGCAGCGTGGACTGCATGTGTCACAGTGAGCTCGTCCCTCACAGCATCAACACGGGAGGATGGCATGGCAGCCGGTGCCTGCAAGGAACCCAGGGACTAGGCACAGCCTGCGGATGTCAGGAGTCGTCTGTGAGGCCGCCGCTGGTCCCCATCAGTCCAGCCTCAGTGACTTAAATAAGAGGCTTCTGCGTTTCTGTAGGAGGGCAAGGAGAGGCCGCCCAAGGCCGACGTGGCAGCTCCAGCACACCGAGGACCCGGCTGTCTCCTCCTGTGCCATCCGTGCAGAGCCTCTTCCCTCGGGAGTCAGTTACCACCCAGGCATTCAGGGCTGCCCAGCAGAAGAGCCAGCTCGGTGTTCCTCAGGTGCTGCTCAGCGCTTAAGAGCTTAGTCTCCCCGGCGCCACCTTCCTGCTGGGAAGAAGGGGTTGGGAAACCAAGTGTTCTCACTGGGTGATGGGTCACCCCATCAAAGCCCAGGGACAGGGTGGCCATGGCAGCCTCTCCCACTTCTCTGCCGGTCCCTCTCTCAGTGGGGTCTTTCCCTACTTTCATAAAGGCTAGAAAGCTGAGTGGTGGCTGGGGACTTGTTTGGAGCCACAGCGCATCAGCGCTGAAGTCTGCCTCAGAATCCAGGGAGAGCTGACTTTGTACAATGACTGAAAACTGGGGCAGAAGCCATGAACATCTGCACACAAACACGCGCTGTAAGCCCAGGGCCATCGCTCCAGGCCAGGGCAGCCGAGCCTGCAGGCAGAGCAGGACACTGGGGCAGATGACGCAGGGAGGGCTCCATGTACCTCTGGGCCAGCAGAAGGTAAGACAGCTGCGGGCCGGGTGCAGGCAAAGAGACAAGCAGGAGCCAGGCACAGCTTCCCGATCCGCCTTCCCTCCCTCCACGTCAGCTCAGGCTATAGGCCAACAGGTCACAGCCCCCTGGGAGCGGGTTCTCCCAGCCGAGGGTAGCTGCGCTGAGCTGCCCACCAGGGTCGGGCTCAGACCCCGGTGCAGGGCCGACTCCTTTTGAGCACAGCCTCTAACTATGGGGTCTCCACCATCTGCCTGAAAGAGGCCCGAGCCCAGTTCTTCCCCACGCCTCTACCTCCCATAGCAAGGACGGGAAGTGGCCAGGGCCCCAGGGGCCCCAGGACTCACACTTCACAAGCCAGGCGAAGGGGACCGCCCCGCCTGAGCAAGTCTGCTTCAGGAAGGCACTGGCGCCTCGCAGCCCCCAAAGCCTGCACGAGGAGGCTCCTCAGACGATCACCAACTTCCGCCTGCAGCTCTCTCCCCAAGCCTCCTGTCAGTCCAAGCCCCCCCGACTACTCAAATCCAAGCTTGGCTGCCCCAAGCCCTGCTTGGGTGGCTGCAGCAGCTGGGTAGAGGCAACCATCGGGTCGGCACCACCTCTCCTCCCGCAGCAGCCCAACTCCTTCCCCCAGGAGGGCATGCACTGGGCTATGGCTGTGGGCCTGCAGGAGCTCCCTCCTTCATCCTGCAGGCTGGAGGGCACAGCAGGGATATAGCCCCTTCCCCGCTGTGGCCATCTGCACTCAATTACAAGCCCTCTGGAAGCACGCAGAGGGCTGAGGCCCCGCTGCTGGTTCTCTATGATTAGCTTCTTCTTGTTTTTTGAATATTGCACATGGTGCAGCCAGCTGTGAGAAGCATTCACAGTTCAAAGCTTTTTTCCTCTCAAGACGAAAAGTGCTAATAAGCTAGGTGTTCCTATGGGTAAATAAGCCAGTTTGAAAGTTCTACTTCCCAGATCAGCTCCCTACTGTCTCTTCCCGGGATGCGGACCATTCTTGCTCTGTGGTCACTACTCAGGCCTCCCTGGCTGCAAATGAGCCCTAAGGAATTCCAAGGCGGTCTAGTTCCAGCTCCTGCTTTGCTATTATGGCCTCTCCCATGGGCGTGTGAGACAGCAGGCGAGCATCAGGCCCCTCTGAATGAAACCATTCCAGTGACAACCCCAAGCAAGGCCTACCTTCTCTCTAGCGGTGAGTCACACAGAGCACTAGTACTCCATTCACACCCGACATCCTCAATGCTCTCTTCAAGCCAGGAGCAGTGGGACTGATTTGGTTCCAAACACCAGGGCTGCTTAGGAAAATGTATTTGTGGAGTGACAGCACGGACCTGAAATCCAGCTCACATGTAAACACAGGGCAGAGCAAAGGAGGCTGGAAATGCTTGTGAACGGACAGGGAAAGTTCGCAGAGAGAGTGATGCGTACATAGAAAACAGGATTAATTAGTCCTTTTGCTGTTCCCTGAGCCAGGGAAATAAATGCAGAAGCACAATATGCCAATGGCCACAAGGCACAGGCATGGATATAGTGTTTTATCTAGCACTGGTGTGCTTGACTTGCATCTGTCACCTAAATTTCTTGAAATTTAGGATCTTATATATAGGATAAGTGGTTTTACTTGTGCTGAGGAAAACAGTGTAACTAACTTCTTACGTAAAGATTTAGCAGGGAAACTACCCCTCCAATGTCACGTTTTCTGATAAGTGAGTTTGCCCGTGAATAAGAAAATCTGCAGCAATTAGGGGTTGTTACGCTGAGGGTGGCTGGAGCCACTGTCTGAGAATAGAGCTGCAACGACAGAAAGGAGGGAAATGAGGAGCCCTGCAGCCAGACTGGCACTGAGGTACTGCTGTGCTCCCGACCTCGCTATACGGACACAGGAGCACTGGGATGTCACGTGTGCACTTGTGTGTGCGTGCACAACACTCCCAGCTCCAATTCCCAAGGTGGCCTGGGACCAGGCGAGTGCACTAGCACAGGCACACACTCCAGGCTTAGCTTTCAAAACAAACTTCCACTGAGACAGCAGGACCAGTGCACAGCCTGGAACGCCTTCTTGTGGAAAATCACAGCAGGCCCGTGGAGGAGGAGCACGTGTCAAAGGGACAAAGGCCCAACTTGCAGGTGTGCTGACTGGCCATGTCTGAGGCCAGGGTTGCAGCTGAAGAAACAGAGCAACAGACTGCATCCTGCTCAATGAAAGAAGAAACTATAGTCCACATTAATATCAATTAATACAGTTCAGCATAGTTCTGGGTGTGAATAATGGGAAGGCCCACCCTGGGTGTGAGTGCTACCCGCCCTAAGGGCATGTAGCTGGGCTAGAAATAAGGGACAGAAAGAGCAGCTTGTTGGTCGCTTGCTGCTTGCTATTTCACTTCTGCCCACCATGAACTGTTTCTCCTCTGCAATGCCCCTCTGCCATGTGCCATTCTGCCTTGGATCCAGCTCATTATGAACTGAAACCCCTACAAATTGTGAGGTACAATAAATCCTTCCTCCTTTAACTTGGGTGTCTGATATTTTGTCTCAGCAATAAGAAAAGTAACTAAGACACAAGTAAAGACACCAAGCCAGACATGACAACTAAAGGCAGCAGGTGACTCTAAACTGTGTTTGTCTGCCATTCAGGACTTCATTGGTACACCTAGCAACACCAACTGGCAGTGAGTATTGATGGCAAGTTCTTTATGTAACTCATGGCTTCCCTGTGGTTCCACAGAACCGGGACCTGTTCACAGGAAACACACACTGAAGAACAGAGAGGTGCCATGTCCATGGGGTTGGCATTTCACCTTCAAATGGCTCAGGTTGTGCACTTGTAATTTTCACACTTGAGAACATTTCAAAACAAAAAAAAAATTTTAAGTGCAATTAATTTCCATTTTTATCTGTCATTGACTCAAAAAATGACTACAGCAATGCTAAGACAATGGAGTTGAAGATGAATATTTCAATACTGAATTCCAACAAAATTTCTTGAAATAGAATAGAAATTATTTTATGATTTTAAATGTACTTTAACTAAATTAAAACATTTATGATTATGAGTTTTAAAAGATTACTGAATAAATGTTCTTTTCCAGGTTGAGTTGAAATTCAATATAAAATTGTTTTTCTGCGACAGGGTTTGCTATGTAGTTCAGGCTGGCCCTGAACTCACTAGGTAGCCCAGGGTGGCCTCAAATTTGCAGCAATCCTTCTGCCTCAGCCTCCCGAATGCTGGGACTACAGGTGTGTGCAACCACATCCAGATCTTTTTTTTTATTCCCTTTAGTTTTTTGAAACAAGAATCCAGGCTGGCCTTGGCACTCATGGCAATCCTCCTGCCTGAGTCTCACCAGTGCAGGGATTACAGGTGTGCGCCACCATGCTTAGTGTAGGGGGCCCTGCCCCCCCCCGCTGGAAATCTTGAGTGCCTTTTATGGACATATCCGGGCCTGCTACAAATCT